TAATGATTTCTTAATATCTTCTAATGCCTGCTCATATTCAGATTACTCCAATTGCCTCCAGTTGCCTTTTATATATGCTTGTTTTTGAATGAAGATCTGATCAAGGATCACGTAATGCATTTGATTATGTCTTTTGAAACTCTTTAGCTGTCTCTCTTTCTTCTCTTCCTCCCCTCCTTTTTTTAAATACCAGTGTTTGTAGAATATCTCACATCTGTATTTATGTGATGTTTTCCCAGTGCTTTATTTAACTTGTTTTCTATCTTCTGTATTTCCTGTAATTTGGAAGTTTTGTAAATATTTTTGGCAAAAGTGTATCACAGTGTAATGCTGGATTGCATTGTACTGCATTGTAGCAAGAGGCAGTTAATGTTTGACTTTCCCACTGTCAGTGATGCCAATGCTAGGTTGAGGTAATTTTTCTATTGTAAAAGAACTGTTTCCTTTTGTGTTTAACAAGTAATCTCTGAGTTGATTTCACCATCAATCTTTTACCCCCTGGTTTTAGCATCCATTGATAATCCTTGCTCTATCAGTAGTTTTATCAGGGATTTCAAATGGTGATTTGCTAACTCAAACATTGCCCTTCATGTATAAGTGAGCATTCCCCTGTAAAGCACTCCATCATCAATTGCTGGTGTCTGATTGTCCTGATTAGGGCTCTATTGAAAGGCAGGACAAAATGCGTAATTCATTCCCTTTACTAATTTTAATGTTATCCTTTAATTATGGTTAGCAAGGTGTTTTTAGAATTCTTTTTCTTTCTCTTTCTGACAACCATAACTCACTAATGTGTTTTATTCAGTCACACTCTTGTTCTCTTTAATTCCCAAATTGTTCTAAATTTGACCTGGGGAAGGTGTTCTTTCTAATGGAAATTTAGAGCTGGAAGAAATCTAGGATCAGCTAACCCAAATCTCCTTTTAATTGCTGAGGAAACTATAACTAATATGTCATTGATAATTAATAGTAGAGTGAGGACTGGCATCCATATCTCTTGAGGCCTTGGCTAGTCTGTTCCTCTCAGCTCCTAAAGACATATCTGTAGGAATCTTGCTTTTCACTTCTTACTTGTAATATTAACCAGCCAGAAAATGGCCCATGTTTTTGTTGTAATGCATTTTTTTTTTTTGCTTATTTGAAGTTACTTTTGAGTCCAGTGGGTGACAGATTAATGGAATAATCTACTCAGTTCAGAAACAGTGTGAATAAATACAAAAGATGTGCCATTGTAGGTTGAGCATATGATCAGCCTGAGAAGTTTGACTCCCAACAGTTTTTGATTCCAACAGTTTGGTGTATCCAAGGTGAGTTTGTCTTGAGGTCATGTACTTGACCTGCATAGAGTTTAGAATTCATTGCCAGTATAAACAAGTAGTGATTTTCCATTCAAATTTCAGTTATCAGCTTCTCCAAAAATATTGCAGGTACCAGGCATTGTTGGGCTCACATTGTGACATATCAGCATTCTATTGGAGTGAAAAAGCCTTTTCTGTGGGCATGCCCTTTCCAGTTCACCTCCTGGCTGTCCTGTGTTGTCACACATTTGTTGTTGGTGTTGTTCTGCCTTCATGCTCACCTTGTATGCATTCAAGATGGTGATCTTTGAGGTAGTTAGAAGCAAAGACTTTTAGGAAGGTTCTCACAAAGAAATAATGTAGGCACAAATGAACGGTAAGACAGTGGGTAGCGATGACAGTTTTTTTTTTTTACTGCTAGAATGGACCTTCAGCAGCTTTATTTCAAAAAGTAAAACCACTGATGATAGGAGGTCAGGCAGAAGTTTTGAAGATTTCAAGATCATTAAATTAGAACTTCACCTTAGATATTTGATGTACTGATGCATATGCATGTAATTAATTTACAATGAGTCATATGAAAAGTTGTCATTTTTTAGGTTGAAAATGGTCAGATATTGGGAATTTCATATGCTTCAAATAATTGCATATTTATTCTATGTTGCTTATATGTCCCCAGATTTCCTTTTGTAAGTGTGCTACTCAAGCAAATGTGAAGCCCACTGAAGCTGAAGGCTCCACTTAATTCTAACTCAGTACTTAAGTTAAAATCTTCATAGGAAATGGTTAGTGAATAAAAATAAAATTATAATTTTAAGAACCTTTTGTTTGCACATTAGAAAGAATAATGCATGGAATTAGAGTGGGGTGGTAGCAGGTGCTGAAATCCTTATGGAAGCCTTTGTAGTGAGAGTGGATCTAGTGAGTATAGAATCTTCATCTAATGCCAAATGTCAATTATTTAAGCCTCTGCATTGTTTCTCACAGGTAGTATGAGGAACTGAGAGTTGACATTTACCTTCTTACAATCTTGCAGCCACAGAAACTCAAGTTTATTGATCAAACAATTCTGACACACTCACTAGTGTGCTTTGAAGGAACTCTCATCAAGCCAGAGAACTAAAAATACTTACAAATTTATTTCAGATATCTGTGTTTCTATGTCAGTGTTTTTCAAAGTGGATTTCAGTACATTGGTGAGTTATGCAATTAATTTATTGGGTCAAAACTTACATTTTTCTCCTAAAAAGTAAAGTAAAGCAGAGTAGAAAAAATGGGAGCACAGTAAGGGTTACATTGTATAAATAAATTTTTGTTTTAGTTTTATATGTGTTTCTTTGTATATAAATGAATGCTAGATTGAGATGCTCTTCCTATAAAACATACATATGCGTGTGCACGTGTGTGTGTGTGTGTGTGTGTGTGTGTGTGTGTGCATGCTTTTTCTCTTTTGGAAACAGGGTCTCACTGTGTTACCCAGGCTGGTGTCAAACTCGAGCTCCTCCTGCCTCACCCTCCTGACTACTGACTACTAGGATATCAGTTGTGAACCATCACACTTGGCTTTCAAAATGTACTTTTTACTAACAGTTGAGGAAAAAAATTGAAAGTCACTATTCATTATAATTTGAGTATATGATAGCAATTGTCCACTGTTAATAATAAAGCTTTAGCTTTAAAGTCAGAGTCCTGATTCTTGTTTTGAATTTTCAAATCCTTCAGTCTTTTAATAACCTTATGTATTAATTTTGCATGATTATAACAAATACCTGAGATAATCAGCTTATAAAAAGAAAAGTTGTATTTGACTCCCAGTTTTAGAGATTTTAATTCATGGTCAGTTGGCCCCGTTGCTTTGGGACTGTGATGGCACATCATGGTAGGAGTGCTCTGGGTGACAGAATGCAAAGACAGAAAGAGGGAGGTCATGGAGTCTTAAAGGCATGCCTCATTCAGGACTTGAAGGACTCCCACTGGGGTTTTCCTCTTAAAGGCTCTGCCACCATCCAGTGCACTACTCTGTGCTGTGACACTTGAACCACACCTCCAACCCTTTTTACTTAAGTATTTTTCAGGTAGGGTCTTGTGAATTTTTGCCCAGAGCCAGCCTTGGACCAAAATCTTCCTACCTTTACCTCCTGTGTAGCTAGGATTACATGTGTGCCACCACACCTGGCTTGTTCTTTGAGAATGGAGTCTTGCTAACTTTTTGCCCTTTCTGGCATAGAACTATCCTCTGTCTCTGCTTCCAGAGCAGCCTGAGTTACAGGCTTCAGCCACCATGAATGGCAGCAATGATTTGCTTTTTAAAGAAAGTATCTTTGGGCTGTTCTGTGTATTGGAGTGTGATTTTGTATGTGATTGTGAGGCATGAGGGGATCAAGAGGCAGAGTGGGCTTCCAGCTTTCAAATGTGCTTGCTAAATCTTGTATTCATATCTTTATATTGTTACACAAAGTCAGCTGTCTGTTTCCTTGGTATGCCAGTGTTTGGATTACTCAGAATTGCAGTTTGATTTGAAAAATCTTTGTAGGTATTTTCTGCCCCTAAGGTTAACACTAAAGAAATGGTCTTTTTGTTTCTACCATTGTTTGTGGGTTCTCTTTTCTTCATCTGTAACATGAGGGGGGCTGGGTTTACTATTTGTAATTCCTTTAAGCTTTAAATTTTTACTATTCCCAGGAATTGGGTTTTCTGTTGTTCATTAAGTAATTTAGGTTCCTTAAAACATTGCGTTGGTGGTTATTTTTCTCCTAACAGTGTTCATCAAAACTTCCCCTGGAGATTCTGTTTTCTTCCTCTATCTCTGTTCAAAAGGAAGGCTTGTTGTGAAAAGTAGTCAAAGGCAGGTTGGGAGGAAGCTCACAAAGGCATGAATGCCTCTGCCCTCTCTGCACACATTTCTGCACAACGGGTGCATAAACAGGACCCACTCCCTGGGTCCCTGCAATTTCTGCTTTGGTCCCCTTAGAGGAAAAAGTGTCATTTGCCAATTGAATGTGGTTTCACAAGTCCTTCTAGGGAAGACTGTAGGGGCCAGCCACCTAGGGTTTAAACATTCAGGGGCTAGGTCCTGGGGTTTACACACTGTGTGGGGGTTGCTAAGCTCAGGGTTTACACATTTAGGGGCTCTGCCTCAGAGTTTACACACCCAGGGAAATCAGCAGCACTGGTGATTCTAGTGCAGTGGCTTCATTTTGAGACTGTTTGGAAGATTGGCAGGCAAGTTTAAGCTTTATTTATGAATAGTCTTCCTCTATGAATGGCAAGCCTCTTTCTTGTGCAAAATAGAGATGAATTTGTGATTTTTATAGAAACCAGGTGATTTTCTGCCTGGTGGGCTTGTCTTTCAAGGCAGGCAAAATTCAGTGTTTTTCATTTTGAGACACTTGCCAGAGGCTATGAGGAAGATGGAAACATATGAAGTACTGTGATCAGTGCCCTGTTGGAATTTCCAAGTTAAGCAATTTAACTCTTTCATGTTGGTTCCTGTGTTGTGAATTCTGACTTTTAGGTTACAAATAGATTAAATTGGATTTTAAATATGTAAGTATTTTGTGTGTGTAAATAAGTTAGTATATTAAAAATGGCTCAACCATGGGCATGAAGATTTAGAAAAAAATTCCAAAAGGTAAAAAGCGCCTTATTTTAATAGCTTGATTATTGTGCTAATCTTTTTTCAATGTCATCATTGCTACTCAGGGAGAAAAGTTTGGACCCTTTGCTGGGGAGAAGAGAATGCCTGAAGACTTGGATGAAAATATGGATTACAGGCTGATGTGGGAGGTGAGGATGTGGCTGTTAAATGTTAAACATGTGCTTTTCTTTATACTGTTTAATGCAATTATAAGGCCATGTGAGTTGTGAATCAATACTGACTCCAGTTAAGTATTTAAGTATTGAAATGTCTTAATTTTGAAGTTCAATATTAAAAAAATTAAGACTGCTGAAATACTTTCCTAGACAATTTTCTTAGAACTCTGGGATTTATAGTTCATCATTGAGAAGGAAGTATTCCAGGTATAAGGATGCTTAGATTTCAAAGTAAACATGCACTGAATTTAGAATTTGAATTTTATAAATGAAATTATACTTTTCCTTTAATCTTTATTTCCCCACTGAAGCTCTAATTGTATGAAAACAATTCCAAATTTTATGTTTGACCAAAAATTCCACCTTAAAATGTATTTTACCTTTAAAAACATACAGTTAAAGAACGATGGCACTGTGGACAGCCTTTGCACTCTAAAGTTTCTCTGATGCAGGGATCTAATCATCCAGGTTTATGTCTGTATATAATGAGAATTGTCATAATAGATTTGCCAATTACATTCGTTGCTGCTCTTTTCTAGTTATTAGAAAAAGGGACTAAGGAATAAAAATGGGGAAGCAGAGGTATTGAGACTGTTGAAGGAAAATTTGGAAAACTTGGCCCAAGGAATTTTATTTGATGGTTTCTATGAGAAAGGTAAGGGCTGAGATGTTTGTCAGTGTAGCTGAAAGAGGCAGAGATTATAAATCAGAAAAGCTGCACAGAGAATGAGAGATAGAGAGTCTCTCTGTGTATGTGTCAGTCAGGGTCTTAGGAAAAGCAGAACTAGTATCTTATATACTAGTTATATAAGAACTAGTATCTCATATACATGTAAAAGGAGATTTAATTCAAGGTATTCTCTAAAGCAGATGTGGGATGGCAAGTCTGAAATCTGTAGAGCAAGCCCACGGGTTGGAAACCCAGGAGTTAATGCTGCAGTTTTTAGGCAGAATTTCTGTTTTTAAAAAACCTCAGTTTTTGCTCCTAAGGCATTTGGGTGAGAGTCACACACATTATGGAGGATAATCTCCTTTACTTCAAATCTATTGTGTAGATGATAGCATCTACAAACTAACTATACGACACCACCTAGATGAATGTTTGATTGAGTAAATGAGTGCTGTAGCTTAGCGAAGTTGACATAAAATCATCATAGTGTGTTGTCTGCAAGAGAAGCACATTTATAAGCTCATCCCTGGTTACTCAGCCTGCTGGGAGTAAGGAGTGAGGGTGTCTGAGGCGTTCTCTGAAAGGTTTCTATAGTGCACATGATGGAAATCGAAATTAACATAGTCTTCATTGTAATTTAAGTGTAAAGTGTTATCAGTACTGCTTTAATTTACATGCTGTTTTAATTATGAACCTAAAAATATTTTTAGTGGCTTTCACTATTTTTCTATAAGGCCATAATTTTCTCAGCAGTTAATTTTTTTAATATGAAGGTTTTTCAGAAATCAAACATTATATGACAAAAGCTAACCCAAGTAAGTCACATAAATGTTAAAAATAACAATATTTAATGGGTTATTAATGTCTTTTGATATTTATTTTATTGTCTGAAAATTTCAGTGTGATGGCCAAGTTAATGTTTTGCACAGCTGGTTATGGGGCATTGCTAAAGAGATAACATAATTTTTATTTTGAAAAGAAAACTTATAGATAAGAAAATTGAGGCTGTTTTGTGCTGTTGTATGGTGGCAGTTGAGCAGTGGATCTAGTTTTACGTTGTCTCTATGGTGCTTCAATGTTTTGTTTTTACACATTAACATCCCAAGTCCTCTCACTTTGCCACTCAAAGAGCTATTAATTTTATACTTAAGTAATGTTCAGTTCATGTAATGATTGCTATCTTTATTTTACTTCACACTTTATGTTCATGCTTTGAACAAGTAATATTTGTCCTTGTCACACAGTTCAGAGAGTATAAAAAGGTAAAAGTCTATCGTCTTCAAGCCAGCTCCATTCTCCCAAGGTCTTTGCTGCATTTAATCCCTTAGTCACCTACTTTTCTCTGCTCTGCCCAGTTGGGTTGCTGGTGGGGGAAGGAAACAAGTGCTTTCTCAGTGGCATATCTCTTTGTGTGTGTGTGTGGGGGGGTGCATGTAAAAAATAGTGAACTCCTTTTGAACTGCAGATGTAGTTGTTGGGCGTTATCCTATCATTTATTATGTTAAGTGAGTGAGCTGATTCCAACTTTCAGTTTTAGCATCAGAGGTACCAGAATTCATAAAGAGCACTGAGAAGGAATTACTGCACCTACTGTTGGTTCCTTTCCTAGAATCCTTGAGTGTTCTCAAAGGAAGATAATGAGCCTTCAATAGAGGCTGGTTATTGAAGACGCAGGGCCCTTTTACTGCATTTTTCATCACCATGCAGCTCCCAAATGGGTAGCCTTCTCAAGCCAATAATTGCCAATGTTGTGGCTATGGAAATGGACCACGTACTGGTGATAATATCTACACGTGATGCCTGTGAGACAGTAACAACCATAGCTCTTGCTCATTTAAGTTTACACTTCCTTGTGGTACTGGTGATTCTGGTAAATAGGGCAGAACCCATGAGTGGCTATTACATACTGAAGAACTTGGAGGTGCCAGGCAAGATTGACCATGCTGGCATATGTGAGCCACCTGGTAGTTTGAGACAGTGCATGAAGGGATTTCAGGACCAATGGGGCCTCTGATACTCTCCACTGGCTGCAAACTCTTCCTTCTCCCAGAGGTGCAGCTTAGAATTTACTCTGCTCCTTGCTTCAGAGCTTTCACACAACCTCAGTCTCTATGGTGTCAGAAGAGATTGAGTCTTGTCTGTCCTTAATGCTTCTTGATACTCTCAAATTTTTTATTTTAAAATAAAGCACATTAGAAAAATTCTGGGTTTGTCAGGCCATAGGCCAGTTGTGTAGCTGGAGGTTGGGAGCCAGTGTGAGTTAAATGCTTCCTAAGGGCAATCTGGTTGTCAGTATTGTGTTCTGTTCTTCCTCCAGTCAGAAGTCCTTATGCCTTCTTTTTGCCACGTGATTTGGAGTTTAAGATACCTTTCTTTTCTCCCTCTACTTTCTCAGACTCACCCTTATGACCAAAGTCCATTTATGTACTGTTACCAAAACTCTCAACAATACTTTAATACTCCACATCATTCACTTTCTATAATTTTGCTTAGGAATTTAAAAAGTATCTCCTCTTCAGCCACTGGGTACATATCTTTGCATCTTGGCACCTAAAAGCAGACACAGCTTGTACATTTTTCTTGCTACCTGCACTGACGATTATTGTCGTTATTTCTAAGGGTATGCAGACACCTTTATTACAAGATCCAAACCAACAAAAACAAAATTATTTGTGCACAGTGATTGGAAGAAGTCCCAACAGGACTTAATTCCTGCGGTCACAGGACAGGAACGCACAGGGAGGTCTCGGCCACGGGCGGAGGGTAGGTGAAACTGTGCCTCTGCTCTGTTCTTGCTTCTGGCCCCTGAGCCGCCCTGCATCCCTTGGCCGGATCACGAGGGAACAGGTTCCAGCGCCTTTGTCTCTGGAGCAGCTCAGATCTCCCAACCCCAGGTGAACCCACGTGGTCCGGGGCTTAGCCGATCCCGCCAGGCAGGGGAGGCGCACTCTGTGTCGCTTCAGATGCGCCTGCGGTGTTCCTCACATGGTCCATCGAGTGACACAGGTGTGTTACCCAGCCGCCACAGGAGGCTTTTAGCAGTACCTAGCATGTAGCAGTAAATAAGCTCCAATCCTCCCTTTTCTGACTTGGGCTCGGATGTACCCTGACAAGCAACCAGGCCTCCGTTCCTTTTCTCCAGGCACCTGGCTCCTGCAGAGCCAGACAGTTGGCAGCTGCTGCTGCACCTGCCCGCCTCATGCGCACCCTCCGCTATTGAGGTGATCTTTAAAATGGGCATACAGTGCCTGGATCCTGCAAATACTCTGCGCTGTCGGCTCTGGGTTCCAAAATAGTTCTCCAGCATTGGCTGCAGGAGGTTTTGTGTAGTAACTGGTCTGTGAACACTTGATGTTGTGCTGACTTTTCCAGGGGAGTCATTCACTCCTGAACTTTCATCTACATGCGACCACTCTCACTCGTGCTGGGCTGGTCAGCCTCTTAGTCTTAAGCTCACGGATGCGGTGGGTGTTCGTGGTGAGACCGCACATTCAAGGAGACAGACGTTGTGTCACAGTTGTGTAAGAGTAGGTGGGCCTTCTGTGGACGGGCGTTCTTAACCATGCAGCTAGTTAGGACTCTTGTTAGAGTCCCTAAGAAACACTTATAAAATGAAGATTTCAGTGAAATATACAGATTCTTGGTGGTATTTTTATAGGAAAAAAAAAAGATCTCTCTTACTTGAATACAGATTGTTTTCTTGCTATTATCTGTAACTCATGCTAAAAAAAAAAAGAGTTTATCTCAACACAAGGCCGTTAGGAACAGAACAAAATAAATAAAGCTGAAACGTTGCTTTTGGTAAAGGTCTCTGGTGTTGTCAGGGTTCCATATGAAACACAGTGTGGGACACAAAGTACCCTGAGAGCAGTCTACCTGCATAAACCTGACAAATATGTTTACAAAGTTTTACGTTCATTTATTTTCCTAAAACTACTCTCTGGAGGAATAGTGAGGAAAACTTTTTTTTTTTCAAAGAGTGAGCCAGTAGAATTATCAAGGCAATTAGTCATTAGAATTTACTAGATAGCTGTATATTACAAAATACAGCATGTCAAAATGATCTTAATTTTACTTATTTTTGTCAGCAGAAAAGACTTACTACCTCTAGGTAAATAACATGTTTTCAAAATATAGTTGCTTAAATGTAAGGTTATAAGGTTTGCATGTGTCTTTGTACCAAATCTCCTGTAGTTTCAGAAATTATTTCAAAATAATTGTATATACCTGGTGAGCTGGGGCCATTTCTATAACTGATGGGCTGCAAAAACATCTTTATATCAGTTAAAATATATACAGAATG